GAGGGGGGAGGAGGGATGGGCCCCTACCCTATTTACCTATGACCTAACCTTTAAGGATAAGTGAAAAAGCAAAAACAAAAAAACAAAAACAAAAAAAAATCAGAAAAAGCAAAAATCCAAAAAAAACACCCCAAAATCATACACACATGCCATAAAACCATACCCCAAACCCAAAAACCCACCCACAAAAACTAGAAAGAGATCCTTGATTGGCAAATCTAGTAGAACAGAAATCTAAAAGGCATCTATACAAAAGATGAGTGATTGACAAAGTACTGTACCAAAAGCTGGCATCCGAAACAATGGCAAGCCCTTACTGATGAACGACCCTACAGTGTACTAGATGTTGTGCTAAAACCTCGGACCCCACTAACACCTTTTCTGCACGTTTTTCTGTGACTGTTCTACAAGTAAAAACTAAGGATTAACAATCGTGATAAATAAAAATTCTCTGCATGTTTCAGCAATTCCTGTATCCTGCGTCTGTCTTCTGTCTTCTCTTCTTTTGTCTGTCTGTCCCCACAAGCACAAAGACCAAGTGTAGAGCAGAAACTATAATGACCACAGCCTTCCCCTGCCACTAACTGAGAGGGGGAGGGGGAGACAGGGCATGTCAATATATTAATCCCACTAATACCCTTTATATATTCTGGAGGAGGAAGGGAGGGAGGAGGGGCAGCAGTACCCCCAAACTACTTCCAGCTCCACTCCCAGCCCTAGTCAATTAGAATTCTGGCAAATGGCATATATTTTGCCTTTGTTGCATAGTTCAGAGACATCTACAGAGTTTTCCCTGGATTTCACAATCATTGTTAAATTAATTAAGCTGTAGTTCCAATTGAGGTGAACCTGCCAGCCCCCAGTACAACATCTCCATCTACATAGTAATTGCTTCAATGGAAGAGTTTTATGTTTTAGTATGACACACCCGAATTAGACTTTAGATTTCTATTTTAGCTGTTTTATACTTGATATACTCCCACACCTATCCGCATGCGTAGATGAATACTGAACACGTTCTCAAAATATCCGTATTTTAAGACTGGAAGTTTTCCAATTATCATACTACTACTTAGACCAAAATATCAAGCTGAATGAAAGAATCTCACTTCTGGAAATACTTTTCTCTCGAATGTGGAGCTGGGTATTGAGTTCCCAGTCATACCTCAGTTTTCTACAAAACCTTAAAAACAGACTTGGGGGCTCCCTGTGCCAAAGACATGGGCCCCCTTTTAGTGGCAGGGGTGGGTTTGTCACAGGAGGTTCTGGGGAAATTCAGAAATCGAGGCTGAACACTGGGGCCATAAGATAGGAGTCCTTTTCATTGTAACTCCCAAATGACCGAGTTCAGTCTACCATCTGGAGATGACATAATGTCAGAGATTAGTGTCCTCCTCATGCCCCGAGTGGAAGAGTTCCACTAGGCCGGGGCTCTGCGTCATGAGCCCTTTCCACAACAGGTTTATAGGCCTGGGTGGCCCGAAACTCCTTTCAGATGTGTACCCCTTCCCAGGCTTGCCTCCATTCCTGGGACTCCCCAAATGTCCTTAGTTGAGAGTGCTTTAAACAGTCCTGTTTGGTACATCTGCCCCCCTCCCCAGGACGAGGTGCCCCCTGAACTTTGCCACTCCTTATCTGATGGGAAAGATGGTGTCCAAGGAGTCAGTCCATTTTATAAAACAAGGGCCTGCTAAAACCCTGGCAGAGGGAGGACCTGTTGGCAGGTGCGCACACCCCTCCCCCCTCCAGCCTCCCCACAGCAGTAGCTGCCCTGCCTGGCTGCGGTTGCTGTCCATCCTCCTTTGCATCTCTTTGGCCTTAGTTTTCTGTCCTCTACCCTGCAGGGCTCATTTAATTTATGATTGCCCCACTGTGACTAGTGGGGGCTGGGAGAATACTGAGAGAGCAGTCCCCAGAGGATTAGCAAGCATCACTGGTAGGTCTGTCTCTGTAACTAACTCAGCCTCAGCTTCCCCTTCTGAGGTGGGGCTACAATGCCTTCCTAACCCTTCACATGTGATGTGTCCTGTCCTGGGGTCCAGCTGTGCTGTGTGTGCTAGCTCCTTCACCCCACTAAAAACAGACGTCATGCGGCGCGCAAACACACACCTTGGGCTAGACAAGACACAGAGTCTGTAACCCCATATAAGGAGGGGGCTCTGTCCCCTCCCCCCACACACACACCTGTGCCTGTCATGAAGGCAGATTCAGAAAGTCCTGCAGTATCTGGGTCCCTAGGATGTAAGAACATTCTCTCCAGGGACCCTAGCAACCAAAGGTCATGGCCTTTACCTGTGGGACCAGTGATGGTACCTGCATACAGGTGACTCCAGAGTGACATCATGAGCCCTGCTGTGTGCTGTGCTACACTGAAAGCCAGGGAAAAGCAACAAAACCTCTAGCCTGCCACGGGGACCTGACCCCACCCTCACCAGTACTGGGAAGGCAGGGTCTTAATTTTATTCCTGTTCCCATTGGTGTGCATTAACACGGCAAACTAGAAATACTGCCAGCTGCAGCACCCAGAACATCATCTCCCTGTGACAGACATAGGTTCTTAAATAAATAATAAATATATAAGGGGGCCACAAATAAATACGAACATCATCTCCCTGTGACAGACATAGGTTCTTAAATAAATAATAAATATATAAGGGGGCCACAAATAAATACATGAAGGTGCAGCGCCCTGGAGGCTGCAGTTAACACCGTCACTGCCACTGGCTGGCTCTCGGTATGCAAATTAGCAACCCAGAGAGTCTCAAACCTCATCTGCCTTGTTATGACCCCTAGCCCCACCCCTACTCCACCCCCCAAGTGCTGCTGAGGGTCAGGTAGAAGCCCCCTCAGAAGGGGACCTCCCTCCCATCCAATGACATCACATCAGGAAGAGCAGATGAGCCAGGTGCAGCTTCTGGTACAGTCGTCATGATCTCAGGGCCAATTTGCTAATCTGCTGCCCGCTCCCCCCCCTCCACCCCCCCAAAAATCAGGCATGTCTGCAAGACATGTTTGGGAGGCTGTAATTTATCCGGGTGCCTCCAATCCACACAGATCGGAACCCACAACCCCTTGAAGAACAGAATACTATGCTTTTTAGTTGTCGAACCTTGATTAGTGACATTCCCGGGTGACAGGGTGCAATATGATTTTCTTTTCTTTTCAATTCCACTGTAGTGAGAAGGCCACCAAAGTGCAGGACATCAAAAACAACCTGAAGGAGGCGATTGAAGTATGTGCCCAGCCCCTGCGCTCTGTCTTTAGTCCCTCCCCGCCCCCACACTGTGCGTCCCCCTGACTAACTGACAATCATTTCAGACCATTGTGGCCGCCATGAGCAACCTGGTGCCCCCTGTGGAGCTGGCCAACCCCGAGAACCAGTTCAGAGTGGACTACATTCTGAGCGTGATGAACGTGCCTGACTTTGACTTCCCACCTGTAAGCCACACCCCTCTCCTGGGTGGCACTGCCCCTCCCACCTCCGCCATAAATAACACGACCCTCTCCCCCTGACCCTGGGACAAGGGACATCATGATACTCAGACTTAATAGGCTAATTCCATACAGAACTGTAACCAACGAATGGCATCAGGGCTTGGTTCAAGATGGATGAATCCTGTTGCCCCTTGTAAATCTTAGCCACTCCACACATAGCCATTACACTTTGTAGTACAGTTCTCACTTGGTTTGATTGTAGATTTTTATGAAGGGAAAAAAAGCCCTAAATTCTGACTGTTTCGTTTGTCCCTCCTCCATAGTAGGGTGTAGTAAACGCTGTGCCCATGGGGGACAATCTTAACCTTAATCCTTTACCTTCTGACCTTGATGAAGGTTTTCCTAAAGTCAGTCCTTCCTTAAGGACAAATGAAAACCTTTTCTCACTGTTTAAAATTACCAAAGAAATACCTATAGGATAATCAACATAAACATCAAAACTGAGCAGAGCATTATGGAAAATAAGGCCTTCTGCTCTATACCCTGGACAAGGGTGCATGGTAAACAGTTGACAAACACCTATCGGCTTCATAAAGGACTTTTTAAGGAATGTAGAGCTGCTCAAACCCAAGCATATACATTTGGGCCCCTTTATGGGGGAGAAAGGGCTTATAAGAGGGGGACCAGGAAGCAGGGTAGAAAGACATGCCTAGACCTAGGAGGAAGAGATTTGTCTCCAGCTGAAACAATGAGTTATTGTTGCCTTTCGTGGGAATTCTGTTTGTGTATTTTAAACAAATTTGGCTGCAAACTTCTCAGGGAAATTATCTGGGTACATAAATTTTTCTTTAAACTAGCAGTTAATGAAAACAAATTCAAGACACGGCCTTTCTCATTCTGTATCCATAATGGGACACAATAAAATTTCAGACTGTTACTCCAAATACACCCAAGCAGTCACCTGTCCCAGTGCTACAGGTCCCTCCACCTCCCAATACCTGAACTTTTTATGTTCCTACTTGCAGTTCACCAGCATCATTTTAGTTAAAATTCATACTTTCCTAGAAGGAAAATTAGCCCAGTACCTTTGACCTATAAAGTTTCTTTTGTTTTCACAGGCTGAATTATTTATTGCCATATTCTCCTAATATTGATATCCTTCCTATGTAAACTTCTGCAATAATAAGTAAATAACTTAGTAGTTTATCCCTTCTCACCCCCCACACCCAACAAATAACAGAAAAAGCTTCCTAAGACCAGTAGTTCATCATGGAAGGAAAATGGGAATGAAACAGCCTTGTGAGCATTCACTTGCCAGATGCCCTCACCCCCTTTGGAACCCCACAGTTCAAGTAACAGTGTTTCTGATTTGGTGTATGCTCACGACTTCCTCTAAACTTTCTTTCTTGCTTCCCTTTCAGGAATTCTATGAGCATGCCAAGGCTCTGTGGGAGGATGAGGGAGTGCGTGCCTGCTACGAGCGCTCCAATGAGTACCAGCTGATTGACTGTGCCCAGTAGTGAGTAGCCTCGCTGCCCCCCCATCCCACTAGCAGTGAGAGTGTTCGGATCTGATGCACTTATTTCACAACCCACGATTGCACTTTTTAGAACAGTGGCACTCTTTGATAGGAACAATTAATACCTGTTACTTGCAACAAAATGATGCTCATAATGAATGAGCTCAAAGTAATTAATTGCAATGAATGACCTGGGAGAAACAGAGCAGTTCTCACACTTAGGGAAATGTAAAACAATTCTAGTTCATTGCTGGGATTTAAAAACCTAGTGGAGAAGAGCGGGAGAGATAAAAACACATAGGCAACTCAGTACAGGATGGGGTATTTCCAAACAGAAGTGTTACCTGGGAGGAGGCCAGGTGAGGCCTGCAGGGACAATGGAAGACACCTTACTCTGACACCGCTGTAGACGTAGGCCAGCTCACTGAAGAGTGCTGTAACCAAGAAGGCAAAAAAAGATTGAAAGAACAGATTTTTAGTTCATGCCTCTAACCTGATACCTGAGCTACTACACACCTTTCCCTAGGGATCCCTGACACCCTTCCCCATCTCTTCAAGGGACATCACTGCCCTGCTGTGAACGTGCCTTTTAAATACTTTACAACCTCCCTCATCCTGTATACAGGAAAGCAAGCATATGGTGGTCTGAGCCATTAAAAAAAAATGTGTTTGCTGATGCCATCCTGAGGTACAAAGCAACTCGCTGAGCCACTGCAGGGGAGGTGTCTGGAGAGGAGGAGGAGGAGGAGGAGGAGAAGGGGGCATTGGAGCTTATCTCCAGTGTCCTAGTGAAATCCTCAGGTTATCTTTCCTTGGCTCTGCTTTTCCATAGGACATTTAGTGTCACCCACATAAATCCCTTACAGTTGAATATGCAGGCCACGTTGAGTGGATTCTCTCAAGGAACAGCAAAACAGCCCCCACTCCTTGAACCAAGTCCCTGGTTTTCTCAAAAGTCCGAACACTAATTATAGTAACACCAAACAGATGGAAATCCTGCAATTGTTTGGCGTTTGTGTTTTGGATCCAAGTCAGGAGTTGAGTACAGGTACAAGATTAGGTGCCTTTGGCCACTCCACCCCACTCCACCCTGTAACTAGCAGCTAAAAGTTTCATTAATTAACAGTCATTTGAACAGGGTTATTTATTTGGTTTTGGTCACACCATTTAAAAAGTTTTGAGGCTTTTTTTTTCTTTTTTTCTAAAGCAGTACAACATCACTCCTGAAACTTTTTTAAAAGCACAAACTTACTAAGTTTTAAGAAAACTTAGAAAAGAGATCCACATAACTTTCCAACTTTTAAAAATGTCTTCCTTAACTGGATGGCTCAGGCAGCCCTGTGTTAGCAGTGACCAGCACGGTTCTGGTTTAACCGCCTGTATGGTGGAGTAGAGGTGCTGGTGTCCTGCCCATTTCTTCAGCTGCCTATTTTTATTTGTTGAGCTGGAGTTTGGCTGGCCCGGCTCCAGATGTCTCCTCACAAGATTTGGTGCTGAGGATCTATTTATAGAATTGTGGTTCTGTCGCCATGGCAACCCGCGGGAGGCCAGGGTGGCTAGGAGCTATTTCTGGACCCAGTGCTGTAATGTAAGATTGATTGGGCAAGTTAGTGTATCCTCTAAGCCAGACTAACTCGGAACTGGTAGAAAGGAAAGGGAAAGAGGAGGGGGGGGAGAAAACACAAAAACTTCGGGGTTTCTTTAGACTTTTTGTCCTCTTGTGATTTTCTTTTCTGATAAGCCCACTTTTAAAATATATTCCTACCTCCCCCCCACACAAAAAAAAGCCAAACTTTTACATTCCTATTAATTTTCCAGTCTTAACAAAAGTTAACTTTCTTACCTCTGTGTCTAGCAACACAGGCGAGATGTTTTAAACTGGTGTGTGCCTCCTATGCAGTGCTGGGGGGCCGCGGGCCTTCGTGCTACGTCTTTTCATTCATCACTTCCATTCCCTAACACACACATGCACTATTCGCCCTTGTAGCCAAAGCCAGGTACTTTGACAATTAAAAGCTTTTTTGGTCAGTTATTACCAAATGGCAGGGATCTCACTGGTTTTGGGGTCCTTGCTCTGTTTTGTTGTTTTTTAAGCCCTGTCACCAACCTGGGCTGTTTATTCTTTCCCTGGGACAATCATTTCTCGTGGGCCCATTGGCATGAGCCCTGAACACCACCATGTGTCTTTTTTCTCCCAGTTTCCTGGACAAGATTGATGTGATCAAGCAGGCCGACTACGTGCCGAGCGACCAGGTATAGTTAGGGGACGGTACCCTCTGTCCACACTGCCATCGTGACTGTTTTGGTTGTCTCTGGTGAGAGCCACTGACCCCCGCCCCTTGTTGTAGGACCTGCTCCGCTGCCGTGTCCTGACCTCTGGAATCTTTGAGACCAAGTTCCAGGTGGACAAAGTCAACTTCCAGTAAGTGAATGCTTCAGCTTTTACCAAACAGACACCGTGGTGTCTTGCTGTCCCTCGAGGGGTTGGTGGCAGACCCTTTGCAGTAACCAGGCTACTCTCCTCTCTTCCAGCATGTTCGATGTGGGCGGCCAGCGCGATGAGCGCCGCAAGTGGATCCAGTGCTTCAATGGTGTGTTCTCAGCAGCCTTAAGAACGTGTGCTTCTGTCATGGGGGTGATTGTTTCTGCTCCTCACACTCCCTGCCTTCGCTTCCTTGTGTTTTAGATGTGACTGCCATCATCTTCGTGGTGGCCAGCAGCAGCTACAACATGGTCATTCGGGAGGACAACCAGACCAACCGCCTGCAGGAGGCTCTGAACCTCTTCAAGAGCATCTGGAACAACAGGTGTGTGCCCAGCCTGCCCCCACCCAGCCTCCCAAGGCCTCAGCCTGCACTCTTCCTGAGCATTAAGCCTGCCTCCCTCTCTCTCTCACTAGATGGCTGCGCACCATCTCTGTGATTCTGTTCCTCAACAAGCAAGATCTGCTTGCTGAGAAAGTCCTCGCTGGAAAATCGAAGATTGAGGACTACTTTCCAGAGTTCGCTCGCTACACCACTCCTGAGGATGGTATGGAGGGCTTGCTCATGGTGGGGGCAGGGAGTGTGGGGGGAGGGGGCTCTTCATTCATGTGGGCCTTTTTGCAAATGGTTGGGCTGAAAGTGCCCACCCTTCCCCTCACTACCATACCAGAAAAGATCCATAGGGGAAGCTAGGCAAACTTACCTTTCTTTATTTTCATATGGAGAAATCGGGAGTTCTGAGAACTTAAGGGACCTTTATTAACTGCCTTAATAAAATATTTGCATCCTTCGCAGCGACTCCCGAGCCCGGAGAGGACCCACGCGTGACCCGGGCCAAGTACTTCATTCGAGATGAGTTTCTGGTGAGTCACGCTTATCTTACATTCTAAGTGTAAGGATGAAGCTGTTTGGTCCCCGGTGGGCTGGCTGTGGGGTGCCAAGGGTCGAGCGGGTCTCTGACCAGCACTGTTGTCTGCCCACAGAGAATCAGCACTGCCAGTGGAGATGGGCGCCACTACTGCTACCCTCACTTCACCTGCGCTGTGGACACCGAGAACATCCGCCGCGTGTTCAACGACTGCCGTGACATCATCCAGCGCATGCACCTCCGCCAGTATGAGCTGCTCTAAGAAGGGAACCCCAAATTTAATTACAGCCTTAAGCACAATTAATTAAAAGTGAAACGCAACTGTGCACGCAGTTAGTCACCCACCATAGGGCATGACTAACAAAGCAACCTTTCCTTTCCCCCAAGTGATTTTGCGAAACCCCCTTTTCCCTTCAGCTTGCTTAGATGTTCCAAATTTAGAAAGCTTAAGGCGGCCTACAGATAAAAAAGAAAAAGAAAAAGGCCACAAAAGTTCCCTCTTCTCTTTCAGTAAATAAATAACAGCAGCAAACAGAAATAAAGAAATAAATGAAACAAATGAAACAAATGAAATAAATATTGTGTTGTGCAGCATTCAAAAAATCAAAATAAAAATTAAATGTGAGCAAAGAATGTTGGGACTCTGTGCATTGCTCGCAGTTCCAAACCAGCTCCCGCTGTCCATGGGCATGGTTTATTGGTCCTTCATCAAGACTTGAGAAGCCCCATGTCCAGATAAAGCCCCTTATGGTATTTGTGGTGCAAAGTATGTTTCTGGTGATGTAAACCCTCGGCCAGCAGCCCCTGTTCCCCTTGTTCCTTAACTAGCCCTGCCTTTTGGTTATTGTTGCCCTGTTTTAGCCAAGGGTTGGTAACCAACCTACACTATCATTACATCATCTCACACATTCCTGTTTACCTGCCCACCCTCAAAATGTTGAAGTATTTGTTAGAGGATATGGACTGAAATAGGTGGAGAGATTTCCATGGGTGGGAGGAGGATGGGCCTGTTCAAGAAATGATTTCAAGACCATCTCTACACTAGGCCCGCCACACACCAAAATGAGGTTAATATGTTTTTCCCATGTACAATAAAGGGGGCTGAGCGGGGGGGGGGGATTGCATAAAAATCACACTTCTAAAAATGGGGAGGGAGTTGGGTAAAAGTAACAAGTAAACAGAGTTCTTAGGAATTAACAAGCAAAACTAGAAAATGGGAAGAGTAGGAAATATGGAATATGCTAAACGTCAAGTAGCTAATGTCTCAGAAGATACAGAACATCGCTCATAAAGAAATACAAATGAAATTTCATCACTGGGGGGTGGAGGTAGTCGGCACTCATGGGCCCCATATTAACCCCAGTTGGAATATGGCTTGAATCTGATAACCAGAATCTCCCAAAGACCCTCCCCAAATAGGTGTACAATCTTAGTATAAAGGATCTGATATGCAAATCGCCAGAAGGCCAGCCCACAAAGGCCCATAACCCCCCTACATCCCCAATAAACACAAATGGGGCCTTGCTGTACAAATACCCAGAAGGCCAACGTACCCCTCCCCATCCCCCTGACACACAGGAAATCCCAGTAAAGTAGGGTCTTGCTATGCAGACAGCAATATAGCCAGTCCAGAGTCCCACAGTCCTCCCACAGTCTGCCCCGTAAACACAATCCCAGTAAAGTGTGGCTTTGCTATGCAAATGGCCAGAGAACCCACCCAGAGTCCCACAATCCTCCAAAATTCCCACAAGAAACACACAAATCTCAGTAAAAATCAGGCCTTGCTACACAAATAGCCAGAAGCACCCCCCAGACCCATAACCCCATCAAAGTTCCCAATACACCTAATCTAAATAAAAATGAGGCCTTGTTACCCAAATAGCCAAAGGCCAGCCCACAAAGCCCCACAGTCCTCCAAAGGTGCCCAATAAACGCAGTCAAAATGGGGCCTTAATGTGCAAATACCCAGAGGACCACTAAGACCATAACCCCTCCGCATCCCTCCAATGAACAGGAAATCCCAGGAAGAATAGTCTTGCTATGCAAGCCCGGGATCCTCCAAAGCACCGCCCTACCATTCACACACAATAACAATCAAAATGGGGCCTTGCTATGCAAACACCCAGAGGGCCAGCCCACAAAAATCAGACCCCTAAAAGTTCCTCTCATAAACCCAACCACAGTAAAGCGGGGTCTTGCTATGCAAGCCCACAACCACTCATGGCCCTCCCAAAGTCCCCCCAATACACTTAATCTAAGGAAAAATGAAGCCTTGTTATGCAAATAGCCAGAAGGCCAGTCCACAAAGACCATTACCCCTCAGTATCCCCCCAATAAACAGGTAATCCCCTTAAGAAGAGTCTTGTTATGCAAATAGCCAGAGTGCCATCCCGCAAAGTCCCACTATCCTTCAAAGCACCCCCCACTACCATTAACACACAATACCAGTGAAAATGAGGCCTTCCTTGGGAAATAGCCAAAGATCAGTCCACAGATTCCCACAATGCTTCTTGGCTTCCAAATAAAGACAACTAACTAAAACCTGGCCTGCACCAATCACTAGAAATTACAAGGTCAGGGCACTGTACCCCTAAAGGCCATGTTGACCAGAAAGCGGAGGTTGAACCACCCTCATTTTCCACGGTGGCTATCTGTCAGCCCTTACTACACAATCATTCTGGAACCACCTCTGAGTAAAAACATCTAAGATTGTCAAAGCATTAGCCAAATATCTTGTCAAATGAAGAAAAAAATCTCGGGCCACAGGCAAAATGATGTCCGGTAAGCTGGTAAGGACACTGCTAACAGAAGAAGGGTAAAACAGTGACAGCCATCAGGCACCTCCTCTTCTGTGTCTCATTTTCTGCCCAGTGAGATAGAGTCAGCTGTTGCTGCCATTTTACCAAGGTGGAACAGAAGCCTAGAGAGGCCCCAGGAAGCATGGCTTCCGACTCAGAGCGCCAAGACCTCTGACTGCTTGACCACTGAGGACACTGCTGTCTTAGAAGAGGCAGGAAGGCAGGAAAAGATTTTCTGGTGTTTCACCGTGATGCCAGTTGTCAGGAGGCCAGGACCTGTGACCCCAAAGGGAAATCCTGCAGGGCATCATGGGATTCCATATCCGGTAGGAGGGTGCGGGCCTCTTCCCTCAGAGCACAGCCTTAGACATACTCCTGCCCCCTCCCTCCCTGGGTCCTGGGCTTTGTCACATCGACCCTATGGTCATTCAGTGTGTCTGAGTCCAGTCCAGCTATCTGAAAACACATTTTTGTTTCCCTTTTCCCTTTGCCCCAGAACCAAACATAACTTGAAGGAGCTATTTTGAAGTCTAAATTACAGAAACCTCAGAAAGCAAAAATTATGGCGTTTCATCTAAATCTTTGACTACAAGACCCATTTTTTTAAATGGGAAAGCTGAAGTTAAACACAAAACCATTTAAACACAAAACCATTTTTTAAAATTTTATTTTTCTTGGTAGTTGTGGGAATTGAACTCTGGGCCTGGGTACACCACTTCCAGGTTTCTAGTGGTTTATTGAAGATGAGTCTCACAGAGTTTGCTGCCCAGACTGGCTTTGAACCATGATCCTCAGATCTCAGCCTCCTGAGAAGCTAGGATGACAGGTGTGAGCCACGGGCGCCAGGCTTGTGACACACTTTATTAAGGTGTAAGCCACATATTACTAGTGACTAATCATGGACCTTTTGGAGAATGAGACATAATGGTAAGCCTGGGGGGGGCCTCAAAGTCTCTATTTTTACTCAAATTTGGACAAAATTATCCCCAAAGAGAGGGCTACATCTACATGGGCTATGTTAACACATTGCCTTATAAATGGTCTCTGCAATGGTTTGAACCATCTTTTCATTGAACAGATTTGCAGCCTTGGCCAGTCACTAGGAGTGCAGCTCTCAAGAGGGTTTCTTCTATCAGGGGAGACTCAACTCATCAAATAAATAACCAAAGGACTGACAGGGGGAAGCCAGGCCTCAGAGGCAGTGAATAGGAGAGGGGTGGAGAGGAGTGGGAGATATTTGGGAAGGAGGCCCTCCTGAGGTGGCAAAGTTTTAATTTTTTTTTTCAGTCGGTTGTGGGGCCTGAACTCTCCACCTGGGCACTGTCCCTCAACCCTTCAGCTCAAGGCGAGCGGTCTACCACTTGAGCCACAGCACCACTTTTGGCTTTTTCTGCTTATGTGGTGCTGAGGAATCGAACCCAGGGCCTCATGTATGCGAGGCAAGCACTCTACCACTGAGCCACCGCTCCAGTCCCCAAAGTTTTAAATTTTAAGTGAATGCAAAAGAGTAAGCCATCCAAGTACTAGTGGTTAAGATCGTTATTATAGTTGTTAATTATTAAAACATATTAGTGAATGTTTATAAAGAAGCACTTTACCATGGACCATATACTGTTCTGTCTCCTTTCTCATCTAATCTTATTTTTTTTTTTTTGCAGCATAAGGTTTTGAACTCAGGCTTCCCTGTTTTCAAGGCAGGTGCTCTACTACTTGAGCCACATCACCAGCCTCTCATTCAATTGTTCAAGGCCCTATCTTATTGTGTAGATGTGAACTTAAACTCAAAAAAGGTCAGTTCTGCTTATCATAATTTATGCAAATCATATTTCTTTTTTTAACTTTATCAACCTATATTTTTACTTTAATCTATATATTTTATTATTCTATACAAAGGGGTTTCACTGATATTTCCATATGTGCATTAATATACTTTGATTCCCAAACTACATGTTTAATGAGGGTTATACAAAAGGTGTTGCAATAAGCAGCCAATGCAAGTTATTATTTCCTAGGTTCCTATTTTGGAACAGAACTTTGAGTCTCTAGGATAATTTATTTTTGCATTTAAACATTTGTATACTGTGAACAATTAGTTTTCTGGGCTTTCCTACCTTATTTAATGTGTTGATCAGGAATGCATTCAGCTACAAATAACAGGCAGAAGGTTTGATTCTTACTGCTCAGAGACGCTGGAGTTGGTGGCTGCTGGGAACAGAAAGGCAGAGGCCTTTACAGCCCTCCTGGCTCTTCTCTCACTGCTGTGTGATCGCCAAGAACAGAAGGAAGAGGAAGCACACAACCCAGCCAAGTGACTCTTTTGTATCATTCTTAGATGTCCTTCCGTTCACTCCCTGCCATGTGAAATGCACATACACACCTAGACAGTTCAAAAGCCAGCTAGCTAACTACAAACAGACTCCCAGTAACACTTCTGAGGTCCCACTGTGCATTCCATAATACTCAGTCCACAGAGGGGCTTCTGAGCTCATACTATGTGCACTTCTGATGGAGCCTCAGGAAACATCCAGGACATACAGTACTAGGGATTAGAGATGGCAACATATAAAAACAAAAACAACATGCTTTCAAAATCTAAAAGACGAATTTGCACAATTTAAAAGACATGAAGAAACAGTTTATTATCCAGAAAAATGCTGCTTTACAAAGTTAACCACAGCAGAGACATAAATCAGAACAAATCGATTATCAGGAAAAAGAAAAATGGAGCATGGTCAGAGCTCCATAACAAATAGGCTCTAGACTTGTGTTGGAATAAAAGAAATGTGCAAGTTAATGCTGAGGCACTAAGAAGCTTCTGTTCTTATTCTAAAGGCTGA